ATGAACATGAACATGAACATGAACATGAAAATGAACATGAACATGAACATGAAAATGAACATGAACATGAACATGAACTTGAACATGAACATGAACATGAACATGAACATGAACATGAACATGAAGGTGTAGATAAACATAAACATAAACATAAACATTAAAAGCGATAGAGACAAAGATAGAGAGGAAGAAAGTGATAGGGATAAAAAGGAAATACAACTGAAGAATGTGCGATGTTATATTGTGATGTGTTATGCTACATATGTTATGTTATTGAATCTAATGCTATTCAATGTTATGTTATGCTAAGTACTAAGCTAAACTCCCCTCCACTTAACCCATTCCAACAAATTTTATTTCAGCTCAACTCAACTCACATAAACTATCCTTAATTTTAGCGGTTGAATTTCAACCGCTGGGCGAACACTAGTTAATTTAAAATGTTATAAGAAAATGTATAAAAAAAATGTTTTGGTATGCTGTTTTATAGCACATTAAATTTCAGTATAATGAAGCGCAAGTTTAAAGTGGCTTAGAATATATTTACGTTGATTTTTAATATTTAGTTTTTTTTTTGCTGAAAGTGCTTGAAATGTTAGAAAACAAAATTATAAAAAATCAACGCAATATCTTATCCACTTAAAACTCCCACCTTGTTGCACGAAATAAGCCATAATACTGCATACTAAAATTTTTTCTAAAAAACTAAAACAAACATTTTTAATTTCGACAACCATTTTTTTGGCAACATTTAAAATTTTTCCTGTGCATTTTTTTTGTTTAAGAGGAACTTTTTAATTGTTTTTAACTAGTTTTTATTAGGAAACCTTCATTAGCAGGAACAAAGGCATCGATTTTGCACTAAAAAATATATGCATAAAGAAATAAAAATTTACAAAGTAGCTCTCTAAACCTGCTAAAAATTTAATTATATTTTAATAAAAAAATACTCTTGAATCACATCGTACAAGATGTTTTCTAAATTATTCAAGTCCTGTCTCTTCACTCTTCTCTGCACGGGGACCCCAACCCTTTGGCCGATACATCTGATTGGGTAAGATGAGTTTTCCTCAAAAAAGAAAAAAAAGCAGAGCATGACAGCTGCCTATTTCCACGAGCCGTCCCTTTTAATTGACAGCATTCTCAATAAAGTCATAAAGTTAACCCAACTTTTAAAAATTAATTACGAAAGTGCGACTATAAATTGTATCAATTTATTTTCATACTTTCTCAGTTTCTCCAGCCACTCCACCAATACTCTCAATTTCAATCAATTAACCGCTAATGATTTATTTGCCCAAGACCTCCTGTAGGTGAAGTGTTCATGAATGCACTTTCAAAAATTCATATGAGTTTCCTTCCGTTTGAAGTTGGTATTAAGTGCACGCGGACAAGAAAAAAATACATATATACAAACAAATGTATATACCTTCATATAAATATAAATAATAACACACATACACAAACACAATACTTGCGCAATTATATATGTGCATTAATACTATAGATTCCACATTTGCGCTGAATGTAGAATAAAATAATATATTTGTATGTAGTGCAATCGCACAAAAGTGAAAAGAGCATATGCACATGCATACAATTCGTTAAACAGGCACATGCATTAGAGTGGGTAGTTTTTTTTTTCTAAAATTTCTATATCCATTTGTGTGGACCTCCAACTTCTTTTGGACGCATGGTTTCTAAGGCAAATATTCTTAAAACTTTCCATATAAATGTATATTATACTTTTGCTGTACGCATTGTCACGTTTTTTTTTGCGATGAGCAATTTGACGCACCCTAATGTGCCTTCCTCTCTGATTTTGAGCGAACACGCTGCACACTGTATATCGTAAGATTGATTGAGTTGTAGATACTGTTGCAGCTCGCCGCGTATTTGCTCGAACATTGAGTGTAGTTGTATTGAACATAAATATTTATGTAAGCGCAGGTGAGATTTTGCTTTTGGTTGTTGCGAAATAGTGGAATTTCATACTCCTTCATTTGTAGGTTTGTATGTATATGGGTCGTTCCATATCAAATCGACCATAGGTTGGAATCGACTGTTGTAGCTACAAAAATGGTTCTTATCTCATTATAAATTTGATATTTGTGGCTATATACAAAAGAAAAATAAAAACATTTAAAAACAAAATTTCGAAAAATAAGAAGATACAGAGTTTTGAAATTTAAAAAATCGTTAAAGCAAAAACTTATATACATTTTTGGCTAAATTTTTTGTATAAAATGTTAAGTGATCTTAAAAGATGCTGAAACTTTGTAGAAGGTATGAATTTTAAAACTTTGAAATTTTGTTTTTTCAAACTCTGAAATAAAAATGAATTTAAATTAGGAAAAAATAAAAATTGTTAAGCATTATTTCATTTAGAGTTTGATTTTTTTTTTTCAAAATTCAAAAATTCATCCTTAAAAAAAAAGAACACCTTTTCGAAAATTTCAAGATCTTTTAAGATTAGTTCGAGATATTGAATACAAAAAACTGGGCCAAAATTTTTAGAAAATTTTTGCTTTTACGTTTTTTTAATTACAAAGTTTTTTAAATCTTTTTACTTTATAAATTTTTTTTAAATACTAGACTAGGATTATTTTGGTAAATAAAATAGTTTTTGAGTTATTTAAAAAAATAATCTTGCACCCTAATTATGAATTTTAGAATTTAGCATAACTTTCTAAAAAAAATTAGAATTTTTTTCTTTTGGCCGAATTTTGTTATATGTTAAGAGAAAAGTTCTGACCAAAAGTCACTCAAATCAAAAACGGTCGATTCCAACCATTGACCGATTTTCCATGGAATGACCCATTAAATATAAGAATGTGTATGTGGTATGTGTTAGCAAATACTCACCGTGAGTCCAGGCGCACCAGTCTTTCCCTCTTTACCCGGCAGGCCGGGTGGGCCGCGTATTGTTTCACGTAGTATTTCATTATCTTTGATTGCTTCTAGGATATCAGACGCATTGCACGTACATTTGCCAGTGTATTTCTGCAAGAGCGGAAGTAGAAAGGAAAAAAAAATTAAAGTACGAAAAGTGGTTTGTGAGCTTATAAATATGTACATACAAATGCATGTATGTATATGAAATAAATGTATGTGAACAAATAAATAAATGAGCAGTTGTTAAGATACGGAAATGTTGCAATCAAAATTACGAGTCAAAATTAATGACTGCTGACCGTAATTGAAAGTACGTTTGCTGAGTTAAGTATCCAGTTTTTTTTTTTTAATAATTTTTGCATTACAAAAATAAGAAGGTCTTAAAAATAATTAAAACCAGTGGTGCCACGATATTGGGAAGAAGTAGAGAACTTTTTTTTTTACTTTAGACCACACTTATGCGAAAATTATGTAGTATTTTCAGCTAAAATCCGTAGAATGGATCAGAGTAGGAGTAAAGTTTTTTATTCCTTTCAGAATGAGTAGACCATTCTGAGCTGTTCTCCTTTGAGTAAAAAAGTATACAAAACCATTAAGGAAATTGTCGAGGTAATGAGTATTGAGCTCAGTGGTTTTGTTTAATTAGTCAGTAATTTTTAATCAAAAAAAGAAACAAAACCGACTTCAACTCGCATATAAAAATTTAAGAGTACCGTTGACTTTTGCGTGATACAATAATCGGATCTAAACAAAATTAGTACGGCACGGATATCGGTTAACGTGGTCCAAAGTTATGCGGTAACATTCATAAAAAAAATATTCCTCCTTTTTTGAAGTCGCTTAAAAATTACTTGGTTTTTAATAATTTAAATTTTTTCAGAGCATCCACTTTGACCGTAGTAAAGATCCGAAGAGGTAGAAAATTTTGAAACAATTTGATTTCCCTCTTACCTTGAGTCTTCATGTAATTTTTTCCAACCTGAAAACCTATGTGTCAGGATTTAATTACTTAATATGCCTGCACACATATGTTTTTATTTGGAAATAGGCTTAGCTTTTTCGGCCCCCTCAATGCTAAATTTTATTTAAGCTTTAAAGCACGTACATATGTGCAAGTCAATATATATTATGGAATTAAAACGTACATACAACAAACATACGTGAAAAATGCGTCTACACAATTATTTGCATTACGCACATGCCATCAGCACCAATTCCTAAGCACCCAAATATACATACGTATGTATGTATGAGTTTACTTGTCAGTTCCGCATAAATTATAGCTGGCTTAAATTGTATAAACGAAGCCACATTTCCGCCGTTCTCATTCATTTGGCATCGTACAGAATTGCTCAACGCAATGGTATGTATCTATGTATATATACGGAAACTCAACCGTACACTACCTTAACTTACACTCCATCCATCCCTATGCTACCCTACTCCATTATATAAATGCAATACATATGTATGTGCATGCAGCATATGTACTGTTAGTAAGCAATTCTGTCATTTTATGCGCCAATTCGCTTTTAAATGCTGGCATATTGTATGCAAACGCTTCAATTTCCATAATTGCCTCAAAAATATAGAACAAGCGCGTGCCTCACAACAACCGACGGAAAACATCAATTGATCGTCTTACATATAGCACACTCGTGATATACATATGTATGTGTACATATGTTTGATAGCGTTTAGGTACCAAAAAAGTCCTTCCATAAATTCGGAAAACTCATTTTTCGCTCACAATATGAAAATTTGCGACAACACAGATATGAATGTACATCGACGTGCGCGTTGATGCAGGCAGCAACTGCGCGTCAAAGTACGCTTTAAAACAGTCATGCCCAGCGCAGGGCACTTGCATATGGACTTCTGCCAGCGCTGGGCTTTAAAACGGTGGTCTATCTACATACATATGTATGTATGCATTGCCCATCAGCAGCCCACACTTTTGCAAGAGCAACTGCCAAATATTCGGCGGCGATAGATAGTGTAGATAAAATGAGCAGCAGTTGTTTGTCTGCCATATGTACATATTTCGATGCATTCAATCATTGACAAAATGCATACAGTTTCGATTGCATTAGCAGTTATGGTTATGTGTGTATTTTGCTCACTCTCAATAATATTCATTCCAAGCTCGTTTCTGCGTGCGTGAATATGCAATACACTCACGAATCCATCTTTTATGTTAGTCCCAGCTCATTTCCCTTACACATAAATAAATATGCATATGTATGATGCACATTTATGAACCAAACACATTTTATTCTCCTCCATTTGTTGATTGGGAATTGGTATAGCTACGCATGTACATATACATACATATCGTCGTTTAAAGTAAAAAACCGCGTAACAAAAATTTTGTCCAAGCATTGGATTTGCCCACACTAGCTCTTGGCTCAAGCCGCGTCCATTTGTCCAGAAATATATTAGCCAGAAATGCGATTGTTTTAGAAAAAAGAGAGCCATTTTAAAACATGAGTGTTTTTACTCGCAAGAAAATAATTTATGCAACCTCAAATACGCGGTTTTGCATTTTGTTGATACGCGGTTTTGTACTTTAAACGACGATATGTATTTAAGCCTTTTGCCTTTATACATAGTAATAAATTAAAATTTGTATTTGCTCTGCTTTGGTTCCGTTTGTATATTAAACCATTGCATGCGCACAAAAATTTAATTTACACACACGAGCAGAATCGAGTAACAATATGTTTGCACATTTTTTTTTATTGCTATGCTTATGCCTTAGAGATGGGCATGGGACTAAATAATCAGTCCCGATCTCGCCCATACCGAAATTCAATTTTTCTAGGACCAAACCCGCCCATCCCGACGTTGTACCGCGGGTCCCTTGAGTCCAGAAATCTGCCAGTAAGAAAAGTTCAAATTAAATTAAAATTAATTTTAATAAAAAAAAATAAATAATGAATTATCTGACATCTTCCGATTACTTTTTTTCTTGTTTAGTTGTGCGTTTTCGTCTCAATAAAACATAGAGTGCATATATATGGCATACAACGTTTTTAAGGAAGATTTTCTGTATTTGCGGCGGTTACGGGTGTGTCTAGAAAGGAATTTGGTCCCATACCGCCCGCAACATTTTTTAAAGACCTTCCCATCCCGGCCATTTTGAAATCAGTACCGTGCGTTCCGCGAGTCCCGGTACGCCTAGCCCATCTCTATTATGGCTCAAAATCTCTTTGTTGATTTAGCATTTTCATGGTGAATAAGTGTTAAATGGAAATGTGTGTTTTTGTTTAAAATGAAGTTAATTGAAATTGCAGTAGTGGTTTTTAATGTTTCGCGTTTTTTGGTGAAAAATTATATTTTAATGTAAACAAAAATTTGTGTTTACTTTTTTAAAGTTATGTATGTATGTATAACTTTTACTGAGAAAACAAGTAATTTTTAAGCAAAAAACAAAACCGACTTCAATTTGCATATAAAAATTTAAGATTATATATGTATTGTTTAGTTACGAATGAGAAGACTTAACCAAAAGATCCTAAAGAAGACTTCGGATGAATAAAACAGTAATATCAAATTTACTTTAAAAAGACCTGTTGAGCTGACATTCTAGAACCCAATCTAAACTAAATATACACAAGCCATTATATCTCAGCATAGTTATCTATCCACTTCTGGTAAAAGAGCCACACACCATCAGATGTTTTCATTTTTCATGCTTTTGCGTCATATGCCACGGGCATGATCGTACATCGAGAGCGAAATCTACTTCTGAAATGCCAAAGTAGCACTTGTTGGCAAGAGAGATTATGGACATCGTTGGACATCGGTGTTAATGCTGGATCCCAAGTAAACGAAATTCTCTAAATTCTCGAAATTATAATTGTCAACAGTGGCGTGGGTGCCAAGGCGCCCATACATACTTCGTCTTGACATACGCTAGCCAATGAAAACGGAGGTAGCGAGGTAAAATTGACAGTTGACGGCTTTTGTCACATTGTTTTTTACGGAAAAATATATGAAAAAGTTTAAATTTGTCAGTAAAAAATTTTTTGTCACCGATACAGAATTGGCCTATAAAATGGAGAATTCAGGAAAAAATGGTTTTGTTGAACAAAACTACTACCTTGTCGTTCAAAGTGGCCTTAAAAAATTGGGAGATTTCATTTTTTTCTTTCTTCACCTAAAAACAGTATGCCATGAACTTTTAAAATTTAGTTGGTTAGTGGTTGCTTGTATTCGCAGGCTTCATCTTTTTTTAATAATTTTTTCCCTTTTTTAATTAAATTTTCATTTAATATTTTGTTTTAATTATTTTAAAAAGAAATATATATAATTTCATTTAATTTTCAGAAACTTATTTTATTTAAATTTTTCTTTTTGAATTAGATTGTCTTTTCATTTAATTTTTTTAGAGATTTACTTTATTAAAATTTTTAATTTCCTTTATTTTTGTTAGAGACTTATTGAAGTAAATTTTTTAATTGCCTTTAATTTTTCAGATTTTATTTTATTTATTTATTATTTCTTTAATTTAATTTTGGTTTTTATTGAATTTGATTTTTGGAAAACTTATTGCTAAAAGCCAAACTGACCTCCTCGTTAACAAGTTTTCAATTAGTCTTTCGAAAGGCAGAAAAAAAGTTTCAAGATATTTGCCAAGATTGGCAATTGTCTTACGAGAAACACTTATCTTTGTTAAAAGACAATTTCCAGAATTTCCCTGTTATTCAATATGGTTTTCTTGTATTTAAAAAGAAAATGTATTTTTTATATGTTTTTAAATTCTTCGATGAGATTGCTATTCCTATAACTTTTTAAATGTATCGTCGATAATTCATTTGTCCCTGGAAGTGAATTTTTATTCACGAGGCTTCGAAGATCCACTATATTTAGGTAAAAATGTTTTTCATTCAATAGTATTTCAATTCTTATTGACACTAATGCGAGTATAACGAAAAAAAAACGCACTCGTCGAAGTTCTTGAAGTGAAAGGAATCGATATTAATAAATTTCTAAAATCCCGCGAATTAATTGCAAGTACAGAAAGTGTTGATCAGGTGTACATAAGAAATATTAAATATTAACAAATGGTTTGGTGGTGCCTCTATGCATGAATGTGGTTGAAC